ATCTCGCCATATCTCCCCACATCTCCCCACATCTCCCCACATCTGTGGGATATCTCCCCACATCTCGCCATATCTCCCCACATCTTCCCATATCTCCCCACATCTCGCCATATCTCCCCACATCTCCCCGTGTGCTCTGAATGCTCCCCGTCTCCGCCACGTAGGTGCGCGAGCGCGTGCAGGCGCGCTGCCTCCCCTCCCCTACCCCCACGGTACCCGAACCCAACCTCCCCTACCCCCACGGTACCCGAACCCAGGCGCGCTCCGCCGCCAAGGAGGCGCGCGAGCAGCAGCTTCACTTCAAGATGCGCGTGCTCGAGCTCCTCGAGACGCTGCTGCGCCGCCCCTCCCCGCCGGCGCTGCTGCTGCTGCTGCCGCGCCCGCTGCTGCGCGTGCTCGGCGATGCGGCTGGCGTGCCGGCGCTGCGGCCGCTGCTTGAACGGGCGAGCGGCCTCATCCGCCACCGCGTGTGCAAGCTGTCCGTGCGCGGCGCCTGGCCGGAGGCGTCGTTGCCGGCGGCGAGGCTGCTCACCGAGCTCGAGGGCGTTCTGGCGTTCGCCGCAAAGGCGCGCGGCGGAGGCGCGCCTCTCGCGGCAGCGACGACAGACGCAGTGATGTTGCTCCTGCGCACGATCACGCAGCACAAGCTCGTCGACGTGCCCGCCATGCTCCGCCTCGCCGCCGCGGCGCCGGCGGACTTGCAGCCACCGCCCACCGGAGCCGCGGCCCTCAGCCCAAAGCAAAAGCGCCCGGGGGTGGCGGCGGCGGCGAGGGCGGGGGCGGCGGCGGGGGCGGCGGGGGTGGCGGCGGCGGCGGCGGCGGCGGCGGCGGGCGGTGTGGAGGGCCACGAGAGTGGGGAGGCGGCGCTGCTGGCGCTGCTGCGGTCGCACGTCCGCTCCTACTACAACACCAAGAACTGCCGGCTGAGCGGCCGGCTGGTGACAGAGCTGCTCCAGCGCTTCCCGCTGCTCGGCTGGTGCGTCGCGCCCCTCCTCGTTGGCGCGGTGCGCGGCCCTCTAGACGTTGGGTCACACGGGTAGTCGTTACGCCGCTCCTTGGCTGGTGCGTCGCGCGGTGCGACGCCCTCTAGATTTGGGGTCTCTGTCGTCGTCCCGTAGCACTCTGAGTGCGCGCCCTCGAGGGGCCGCACGTCCCACTGCGTGGCACCGCCCCAAGCGGGGTCTCTAGCGCCCCCGCGACGAGGCCGCAGTCCCCCGACGCTGGTGGCACGCACGGTGTGTACGTGTCCTCTCGGCTCATCTCGGCTCATCTCGGCTCATCTCTGGTGCGACTCACGCGGTGTGTAGGTGCGCGGCGCGCGCGACGCGTACCTGGCGGGCGAGGCGTGCTCGCACCTCTGCACCCTGCTGGGCCAGAGGCGCGCGGCTCTAGATGGGGGGAGTCGGCGGACCCGTGACTCCTTATATCCCCCCACGTCTCCCCACATCTCCCCACATCTCCCCACATCTCCCCACATCTCCCCGATTCCCCC